ACATAAATATATCACATAAATATCACATTTTATATTAGGATAAATATATCACATAAATATATCACATAAATATCACATTTTATATTAGGATAAATATATCACATAAATATATCACATAAATATCACATTTTATATTAGGATAAATATATCACATAAATATATCACATAAATATCACATTTTATATTAGGATAAATTTATCACATAAATATATCACATAAATATCACATTTTATATTAGGATAAATTTATCTTGTTTTTACAAGTTCCATTGTGCTAACTTTGTTTTGTGGACAATTTTAGTGTCATCTTAAAACTTGAAGATTTTACAGTAAATGTACCTTTCCAGATCATTTAATGGTAAATAAGCCTTTTCCAAAAACAAAACAAAACAAAATCAAATTCCTGGAACTCCTACTGTTTATTCACTATTTAGGGAATTACCAGCTTATTCTTCCCTTACCTCAGTTTCCTCTTTATAATAATAGGCAAGCTCTCTAAATCCATGATAGCTCAAGGTGCAGTTTTAGCAAACAATAATGTGATCAAGGCAATGTGTTCACCATGAGAAAATACCATTTCTCGTTTCTCGGTAATAACAATCACATTTCCTCCTGCCAGTATGCAACAGCTACATTTTATTTATTTATTGAGCATTTATACAAGTTTTACCATGTGTCAGGAACTGTTTCAGGTGCTTTACAAGTATTAACTCACTTAATCCTCATGATAATGCTATTAAGTAGGCACTGTCATTTAACACCGTTTTGCACATGGGGAAACTGAGGCATAGACTTGTTGGAGTAATTTGATCACGGCCACCCAGCTGTAAGGGGTAGGGCTGGATTTCCAACTCAGGAAGTCTGGCTTTGGAGTCCATGCTTTTAAAATGTTCTGCTGTAGCGTAGTTTCAGTAGGGTTTTTACACACTTATTTTATGAGCCTGCTGAAGATTTAGGACCGATTTACATTTCTGAGGATGTTTCTGTCTTTGACTTCATGAGCTGTTCCGATTTATGATTTGGTTTATACGTCAACTGTCTGCTGCATTTTCTTGTAAAACTTTTAGTGGGAGTGTTGAAGGGATGCCACGTGGGTGATGGCAAGATAATTGAATTAGATGTTGACAGCTGGAGATAAGATGTTTATCACAGGTATTTTAAGTTGTTTTTTGCATCTCACTTTTAATAGTTAACACAGAGGATGAGTGGATACACCCGATAATCTTTTTAAAAATTTTTTGAATTTTATTTTATTTATTTTTTTATATAGCAGGTTCTTATTAGTTATCCCTTTTATACATATTAGTGTACATATGTCAATCCCAATCTCCCAATTCATCACAGCACCACCCCCCCGCCCCCATAACCCGATAATCTTCAGAAACTTCATTTTAGACTGTAATTCTGACCATTTCTCCCACCAAACCTGTATCAGAGATTCTCGCAAATTGTTTAATTTACTTGCTTGGATTTTATTCCCATTTCATTTCCTCAGTGCACCAGCAGGTGGAGGTACAAGTCATTGGTAGAAAATCCAGAGGAAGAAAAAAATAAACAGCTAGAAAACCAGTCTCTGGACAACTGAATGCTGTTTGCATTTTTAAGTATATCGCTATGTAGCATTCTGGTTATTTAAAACATTTAAAACTATTTCACTTTATTTCCAAGTTGTTTCAGATCATTCAGAACAAAAAACTTTTAAGGATCCTGAAAGGTTAATCCAGGCATTTCATCACATCATGAAGACAGCTACAGGACTGTACTCTCTTCAAGTACCCGTTGCCCTCACGTTTCCCAGCTGAGAAATATGGGTTTCCAGCCAGAACACTAAGAACCCAAAGGATGTTATTCAAGCCTATGTCTCCCCAAGTGCTGGTGGCCAAGTGTATATGACAGAGTTCAAAACTGCAGGCCAGCAGGGCCACGTTTCACACTTCTTGGACAGAATGATGAATTAAATCATCCTTCAGTGGATGAATCACCTTCACATGCCTCAGAAATAGCCACTTCATTC